CAGCCAGTACCAGGTGGAGCCTAATTACTAGGATAAGCTGGCTGCTAAGAGGCACTGGCTGGTGGCCTCCGGAACTACATCCTTCAGCTCTGGGAGCAACAGCGCCACCCACCAGCACATGATCCAATTCCTGATACGAGCCGTAGCAGGTCAGTACTGGTAGTCCCCATACTCCTATCATGACAGTTTTTCTTTATTTTTAATCATGTTATATATACATTGTGAAGAACCTTTTTCAGTTAACTTGAAGGTGAAAATGTAGTTTAATGCATACAGCAGTCTAGATTTATTACTAAAATATTTCTATGTAACACATATTTGTAAACATGTCCTATTGAATACAATGGATTTTCTCATGTCAGTACATATTAATGTATACAATTCTTCTAATGACTTAATGCATGCACGTGTTTAAATTTGTTTTATGCATGTTTACATGCATACATGTATATAAAATATGCAAATATGTACTTCCCCAGGAGCAGCTGTGTCCTATTTTTTTGTAAATGGGGTGCACACTTTCATTTGAATATGCAGCTGTGTGTATGGCCTCACTGATTCCTGTAGTGCTGCAGTTAGATTTGTACAAAACTATGTTATGTATGGTGTTTTGAATGCTTGCTGAATGAGCACCAAGACCAAACTATGTTTTACTAATTTTAATTACACAATGGGGGAGAAAGTTGGGGGTTTTTGTTTTTGTTTTTTAATGTTGACTTTTTTTTAACCAAACTACTTCAAATCAATCAAGCTTTATTAATATATAATATGTATGAAAGAGGATGAGACCATTTCTTACTCTGTTTACCAGCTAATTAAAAACTGACAAATTACATTGTTCTTGCATAAAGAATAATCAATCCTTCATTATTGGTGTAAAGGACACTGTGGCATTTCCATTCCAGACATAAATTAGTGCAGGTCATTTACATTTTTACAGTTCTGCTAACAGTCCAGATAAACTTTAAAGAGACCTTGTCATTAGACCACTGATATCAACAAATAATATTATATGTGTGTTTACCATATGTTATGCATAATATTCACCTCTAAAAGCTCCCTTGTGTAGACAAGAAAAAGCCGTGAGACTGCTACTGGGTGCCAACATCGTAGATGTGATATCAGCAGGCCCAGAAGACTCAATACTGTCACTCGAGTGACACTCTATAACAGGGGTGTCAAACTTAGTTTCATTGCAGGCCTTATCAGCATTATGGTTGCCCTCAAAGGGCTGGTTGTATCTGTAAGTCTAGATAGCCAGATCACCCCCCCCCCTTACATCAGATGACAAGACCCCCCCACCATCAGGAGTCAAGAGTCCCCCATCCTCCCTTACAGAACAGTGCACCCCATTTACCTTGTGCTGCTGCTGGGAAAAATCTGGGGGTGGAGCTGGGAAGCAGAAAGTGCATGGTCTGGAGGACAAGAGGAGGGCTGCTGGAGTCTGCTGAATGCTGACGCCAGGAGAGGCAGAGATGAGGGGGTGCTGTGGCTGCACAGAGAGGCACAGGATCTGTAGAAGTTCTGTCCTCCTTTCTGCTGCCAACTGCTGAGACAAGGTGGTGGAGGAGACAAGGGGGGGTGCCTCAGCTGCTGGAGAGGTGCTAGGCAATATGAAATGGCCTGTTGGATTGGACTCGGCTTATTGGCCTTGTGTTGGACACATGAGCTCTATAGTATTTCCCTTACCTTTTTCCCCAGCAGCTACATAAAGTGTTATATAGGGTGGTGAGCAGAAATGTTGAGGAGCTAGGTGAGGTGAGGAGAAGCGGGGCTAGAAGAGAGTAATTAGATACACTCAAAAGAGGAGAGGGCTATGACCTGCAAGGAGAGAGGAGGTTGTGCTAGGTATTAATCTCTTCTGGAGTACTCACATTTTTTAGCAAGGCACATTGCAAGTTTATGTTTGTTGAAAATATACTGCATATAAGCATTCAAAATGCTTGATTTCTGTTATTTTACCTGCAATTTTTTAAGTGTGGTAATCCAATAGCATAATAGAAAAGTGTTTCAGTGAAAAAAATTATGTAGTATGTGCACTACTCAACTGTGCTGTTATACTGTGTGTGTTTGAGTTAAAGCGATTCTAAAGGTTCATTTTTTTATAACATGTTATACTTACCTGCTATGTGCAGTGGTTTTGCACAGAGCAGTCTGGATCACCTAATCTCGGGTCCCCCGCAGGCGCTGCTGTCTCCTCCCTCCTTTTGGGTACAAGTAGCTTGTTATTGGGGCACCCGCGGCTCTGTGTGTCCATTCACACATGGAGCTGCAGCTTGGCCCCACCCCCCTCTCTCTCCTCATTGGCTGACTGGCTGTGATTGACAGCAGCGGGAGCCAATGGCTGAGGCTGTCATTCACATCGCTGGATCGTGATAAGGCTCAGGTAAGTATTGAGGGGGCTGGGTTCACTGCTGCACACAGAAGGTTTTTTACCTTCATGCATAGAATGCATGAAGGTAAAAAATCTCAAGCTTTTACAACCACTTTAAGAAGGAAGGGTGGAGAGCAATTTTTAGTTACTTAACAGCAAAATAATTTTAACTATATAATAGCGGTTAACAGAAAATTTTCAGATTAAGCCACATTTTTCCATGTGATTGACAGTCCAAGGTGAGAATTTTAGGAGAGCTGTTTTAAAAGATGTGTGCTTATCATAAGAGATAAATTGAGACATCATTAGAGATATATTGGACAACAAAGATTTTGTTTCCTGAACACTTTTTGGTGTATCCTATAGATTTTTGACTGCTAATCACATAAATAACCTGTAATTTAACCTATCACATACCGTTTTATAAAAATCATCTGCTGCTTGGAATGCAGCTCAGATATACCAAGTACTGTTGTTACATATCCAAATGGAACAGAGGTACAGGAAAGTCGCATTACATTAAAAGAAATGACAAAAAAAAAAGTGGCAAGTGAACTACTTGTTAACTCGAAAAATATATTTTTGCCTCCTTCACAGTAAACTTGGACTGATGAAACCTCCTACATATTAGTGGACTAAAATCTCCAGTACATTATAGTGGAGGCCACTTCCGAAATTCTAGATCGAAGAGAGACTAGGACAAGCCAAAAATACATGTACAAGGGTACCGGCCAGTCCACTCCCTCAAAAAAAGAAGTGCGATGTTCCAGGAAACATAACATGTAGTCTAGAAGGGGTATAGCACCAGCGAGTTAAAACCTTTAAGGGTGTCTCACAGAAGCCTGACGTTTAGTTACACAAAGCCACAGGTCTTCATTGTGCGCCATTACAACCTTCTACCCATCGGCGTCCTGACAATCAATGGCTTCACCAGTTGATAAGCAGGATGTCGGTTGCCTGCACAGCACTCTAATTTGACCCTCCCCTGTCCCTCTCCGTCAGTGCTGGGGTCACATTCGCTCAGTAATGGAGAAAAACTGAGAGAAACACTGTAATACTAGTCAGTACCAGTGTGCAAAAGTGTATTTGATTTGGAAGAATAAATCACCTTTAGCGTTGGGTGTCCTACATGTGTGGATGTTGCTGCATTATATAAAGCTATTAGAATAGTTTTTTACATTTTAGAATGGGGTGCTTCAAGAATGTCCTTAATTTTAAAGGGCGCCGCAAGACTGAACATAATTTTAAAGGGTATCTTGAAATTGTCCATAACTTTAAAGGGTGCCTTGACTAAAAATAGGTTGGGAAACACTGATCTAATGCACCAAACAATAGGCTCATGTACAGGAACAGAACAAGCACGCAGAAGATCTTAGGGAGAACAATATGCAAGAATAGGAAAATATAATTACTGTTGTGATAGGCTTGACATTATATTTTACAGCTGACTACATTTTTGGACATATTAATTTTCAGAATCTCACTCATTGCAAGGTTGTTTTTAAACAATACTTTTTTGTAGAGAGAGGCAAAGCTATTTTGTCCTCACCTAAACCTCTAGTTGCTGCATTTTTTAAAATTCTATTTTTCAATTATCTCCACACATTTTACAATGGATAGACATCCTAGTAGTCAGCCTCTCACGGCCTCTTGTTCAAGCAAAACCTATTTCTCGGTGCCCACTGCCTGATTTGAAGAGTTGTGAACATACTGACTTTTCATTAACATACATAGATTGTTCAGCTCTTATACATTTTCCTTTTAATGGAAATCAAATTGAAAGTCCGTGACATTTATAAATGTAACTGTAATCCTAGACTGAAGTGTTTGCATGAAAGAAGACTTGATTCCATGAAATTAAACATAGGCTGTGACACCGCAATGCAAGCAACTTTCTGTGCCTGTGCCTTTAGGTAATCTTTCCAGCTCTCTAAGTTCCTCCTGGTTAGACTAAGCCCTAAGACAGAGTAAGACTTAGCCCTTCTCCCACTTCCCACATGTGCCTTTTGGCCCATCACTACGAGTTGTGGCCTTACTGGCAAACTCTAATATGCAAGAAGCAGGGCGGTGCAAGACAGTTCTTGGCAATAGCAGCAAATACCAAAACTGACATGTAAGAGAAGCCAGGGAATTAAAAGGGCCAGGTAGCTGAAGGATGATCTAAGCAGACACCACTAACCACTTGCCCTCCAGAGGATTTACACCTCTTCCTGACCAGGCCATTTTTTGCAATACGGCACTGCTTCATTTTACCTGACAATTGCGCGGTCATGCAGCGCTTCACCCAAATTAAATTTATGTCCTTTTTCACACAAATAGAGCTTTCTTTCGGTGGTATTTGATCGCCTCTGTGTTTTATTTTTCTTGCTTTATAAACAAAGCCCCCCCACACACACAATTTTGAAAATTAAAAAAACAATATTTTTGACTTTTTGCTATAAATCATCCAGCAAAAAAAAAATTGTAAATCAAATTTCATCATAAATTTAGGCCAAAATGTATTCTGCGACATGTCCTTGCTGAAAAAAATCCCAATACATGTAAAGTGATTGGTTTACGTGAAAGTTATAGCGTCTACAAATGGTGGTATATATACTGGGATTTTTTTTTTTTTCATACTAGTAATGACTGGCGGGCATTATGACACTGGGGGGAACTGACTAACTGCCACTGACATCCCCAGTGAAACTAATACAGTGATCAGTGCTAATAAAAAGCACTGACACTGTACTAATGGCACTGGGCAGGAAGGGGTTAACATCTGGGGCAATCAAAGGGTTAACTGTGTGCTGTGTGTGTTTTACTAGGGAAACAAGCTGCTTTGTATTCCTCTGCTGCGCAGAGGAATACAAAGAAGCCTGTTCGTGCTAACAGGGGAGAGATCTGTGTTGTTTACACACAGACCTCTCCCCTCTCGGTGTTCCCTGGCGATTGCCCAGTGCCGGCAGGGAATCCTCTGCAGGACCCGGTGATTGACAGCTGTAGCGGCCAATGGCAACGCAAGTAGGGCAGAAAAAATCACGAATATATACTTGATTTTACACAGTCCTGTCGCCCTGCAGCAGTAGTTCTGCTATAGGGTGGTCGAGAAGCAGTTAACTGAATCCTGTGCAGTACATTTGTGAAACTGGCAGTTTTATTTTAGCAGACCAAAGTGCTATCCTTACCAAATGTATTGAAGATAAAAATATCCCAAAACCAAAACAAAAAAAAAACAACAATTTTTGGACTATATACAGTATGTAAAAACAGAAAAAAATAACTAATTTTTATGACGCGTATAATGCACAATGCTCTTGCAAACTAATTGTAATCCAACTATAGCTTACATGCTTTAAATGTGAAAAACACAATGCTATAGGTGCATTTACTAGTATGATATTATAAGAAAAGAACTAATGCATATTGAAATCTACTAACTGAGCAATGAGAAATTATCACGATACTTGGAAATAGTTACTGTTATATATGTTATCAAACATTAAAGACCACGTTTAAAGTGGCATTAAACCCAAAAGCAAACATTGGTTATATTTAGAGATGAGCGAATTATTCAAAAATTCGGTTCGGCTGATTCGCCGAATTCGCCGAATAAATTCGCTTCGAGCCGAATATATTCGCTGCGAATTTAACTTATAAAAAGGGTGTTTCTAGGCTTCAGAGAGCCTTTATATTAGTGCAGAACACTGTACCTTTAATTTAAATGCCCTTGGAGTCTGCTGGGGAAGAGAAATAATACTGTCAGTCAGTATGACATGCAGATGAGTGCCGTCGATCTCTTAGAATCACCGCACACTTCACTCATTTGGGCAGTCACGGGGCCAAAACCAGAGTGTGGAGCCACAGTGTGGCGGTGGAGGCAGCAGCAATGGGAGGCCATACAGCACCCTATGACAAAATGGAACCCACCAGCAGTGTGAGGAGACCTGAAAGTGGCACATGGCAGAGTGTGGCGATGGAGACAGCAGCAATGGGAGGCCGTACAGGGACCCATGAGAGACTCTGGACCTGGCAGCAGCATGAGGAGGCGGTACAGGGGCCCATGACAGATTACGGGCCTGGCAGCAGCATGAGGAGTCGGTACGGGGCCATGGCAGATTACGGGCCTGGCAGCAGCATGAGGAGGCGGTACAGGGGGCCCATGGCAGAGTGGCAGAGCGTAAGCAGCTAAAATTGAAGGCCATACAGAGGCCTATGTTAAAAAGTCCCCCCAGCAGCAGCGTGGGGAGACGACTATCAAGAGTCCAATGGCAGAGTGGCGGAGCAGAAGCAGCTTCAATTGAAGGCCATACACAGGCCTAGGTTTAAAAGTCCCTCACAGTTAATTCCAATAACGAACTCTACTCCTCCGTGCAATCTACTTACGAGACCCTGGGCAGGTCTGGGTCCAATTTGTGGTAGAGACTGGTTTTGTTCAGCCATGCTTGAGCGAGTAATAACAGGTCTTTTCTGCCCTTTGGTGTCTGGCTTAATGCGCACAACACTGAACGTCCCAGCGTTTGTCAACGATTTGCCGTTAAGTGATGCAAACCCGCTGAACCACGTTCATGAGGAGCCGGTACAGGGGGCCATGAATCAGTATGGACCTGGCAGCAGCGTGAGCAGACGACAGAGGCACATGGCGCAGGGTGGCGGTGTAGGCAGCATTATTCTGAAGCCATACACAGGCCTAGGTTAAAAAGCGGAAGCCGTCAGCAGCGTGAGCAGACGACAGAGACACATGGCGCAGGGTGGCGGTGGATGCAGCAGTATTCGGAAGCCAAACACAGGCCTCGGTTTAAAAAGCGGAAGCCGTCAGCAGCGTGAGCAGACGACAGAGGCACATGGCGCAGGGTGGCGGTGGAGGCAGCAGCAATGGAAGGCCATACAGCACCCTATCACAAAATGGAACCCACCAACAGTGTAAGGAGACCTGAAAAGTGGCACATGGCAGAGTCTGGCGATGAAGTCAGCAGCAATGGGAGGCCGTACAGGGACCCATGACACACTCTGGACCTGGCAGCAGCAAGAGGAGGCGGTACAGGGGCCCATGGCAGAGTGGCGAAGCGTAAGCAGCTTAAATTGAAGGCCATACAGAGGCCTATGTTAAAAAGCCCCCCCAGCAGCAGTGTGGGGAGACGACTATCAAGAGTCCAATGGCAGAGTGGCGGAGCAGAAGCAGCTTCAATTGAAGGCCATACACAGGCCTAGGTTAAAAAGTCCCCCCAGCAGCAGCGTGGGGAGACGACTATCAAGAGTCCAATGGCAGAGTGGCGGAGCGGAAGCAGCTTCAATTGAAGGCCATACACAGGCCTAGGTTAAAAAGTCCCCCCAGCAGCAGTGTGGGGAGACGACTATCAAGAGTCCAATGGCTGAGTGGCGATCCGGGAAGTCAGCGTTGTGATTGCAGATGCAATGCAGAAATTCTACGAAGTAATGCCGTGGGTGCGAAGAAGATCATATACCAGGGACAGGGGCAGGTCGAGGACACGTGATTTCAGTGGGCTTGCTCCCGGGCCATGCCAACTAACGGTTGTGTCTGACGTACCCACCGACCGTTGGCTGTAGGTGTCAGAGGTGACCTGGGAAGAGGAAGACGACCGAGTCAACCAATCGATGACGGCAGGGTTGTCGGTGGAGACACGACCGCTGGATGACACCGGGAGCACTGGCCTCTGGCTGCGACTAGTGCTGCCTCGACCCCTTCCTCTGCTGCCACGTCTGCTCGCACCTGAAACATTGCCTCCTCTGCCACTCCTCTGCGTGTTGTCTGACATACTCTTTAATTCAATAAGCACCCCAAAAATAAAACCGGATTTAACTCTTTGAACGTACAATAGTGGTTGTGAAGCAGAAAGTCAGTTTATTTAGCACAATCGGTCAATTGCAGCTTGCCGTTGGCTGTAAACTGTACGTTTATGTCACTGGAATGCACTAATCACCCAAAAAATATTACCGCCCCCGGCGTGTATATGGATTTAACTCTTTGAACGTACAATAGTGGTTGTGAAGCAGAAAGTCAGTTTATTTAGCACAATCGGTCAATTGCAGCTTGCCGTTGGCTGGAAACTGTACGTTTATGTCACTGGAATGCACTAATCACCCAAAAAAATATTACCGCCACCCGGCGTGTAAATGGATCTAACTCTTTGAACGTACAATAGTGGTTGTGAAGCAGAAAGTCAGTTTATTTAGCACAATCGGTCAATTGCAGCTTGCCGTTGGCTGGAAACTGTACGTTTATGTCACTGGAATGCACTAATCACCCAAAAAATATTACCGCCACCCGGCGTGTATATGGATTTAACTCTTTGAACGTACAATAGTGGTTGTGAAGCAGAAAGTCAGTTTATTTAGCACAATCGGTCAATTGCAGCTTGCCGTTGGCTGGAAACTGTACGTTTATGTCACTGGAATGCACTAATCACCCAAAAAATATTACCGCCACCCGGCGTGTAAATGGATCTAACTCTTTGAACGTACAATAGTGGTTGTGAAGCAGAAAGTCAGTTTATTTAGCACAATCGGTCAATTGCAGCTTGCCGTTGGCTGGAAACTGTACGTTTATGTCACTGGAATGCACTAATCACCCAAAAAAATATTACCGCCACCCGGCGTGTAAATGGATCTAACTCTTTGAACGTACAATAGTGGTTGTGAAGCAGAAAGTCAGTTTATTGTACACAATCGGTCAATTGCAGCTTGCCGTTGGCTGGAAACTGTACGTTTCTGTCACTGGAATGCACTAATCACCCAAAAAATATTACCGCCAGCCGGCGTGTAAATGGATTTAACTCTTTGAATGTACAATAGTGGTTGTGAAGCAGAAAGTCAGTTTATTTAGCACAATCGGTCAATTGCAGCTTGCCGTTGGCTGTAAACTGTACGTTTATGTCACTGGAATGCACTAATCACCCAAAAAATATTACCGCCACCCGGCGTGTAAATGGATCTAACTCTTTGAATGTACAATAGTGGTTGTGAAGCAGAAAGTCAGTTTATTTAGCACAATCGGTCAATTGCAGCTTGCCGTTGGCTGGAAACTGTACGTTTATGTCACTGGAATGCACTAATCACCCAAAAAATATTACCGCCACCCGGCGTGTAATATGGATTTAACTCTTTGAATGTACAATAGTGGTTGTGAAGCAGAAAGTCAGTTTATTGTACACAATCGGTCAATTGCAGCTTGCCGTTGGCTGGAAACTGTACGTTTATGTCACTGGAATGCACTAATCACCCAAAAAATATTACCGCCACCCGGCGTGTAAATGGATCTAACTCTTTGACCGTACAATAGTGGTTGTGAAGCAGAAAGTCAGTTTATTGTACACAATCGGTCAAGTGCAGCTTGCCGTTGGCTGGAAACTGTACGTTTGTGTCATTGGAATGCACTAATCACCCAAAAAATATATTACCGCCAGCCGGCGTGTAAATGGATTTAACTCTTTGAACGTACAATAGTGGTTGTGAAGCAGAAAGTCAGTTTATTTTGCACAATCGGCAAACTGCAGCACCAACTGTGCACGACAGCCACCCAAAAAAAAAAAGGGTGTATGTCACTTTAAATTTTCGATTCTTTGATAGCTGTGGCCCTAAGTAACGATTCTGTGTCCCTGAGTAACGATTCTGTGTCCCTGAGTAACAATTCTGTGTCCCTGAATAACGATTCTGTGTCCCTGAGTAACGATTCTGTGTCCCTAGTAACGATTCTGTGGCCCTAACTCTGTCCCTTAATACACACAGGTCTGTCTCTCTTGAATGACCGGAGGCTAATGGAGAATTCTAAGATGGCCGCGATTTATAGCTCCACCATTACACAGTGCTGGCTGGCTGCTGATTGGCTAATGCGATCACATGTCATGAATGCATTATGGGTCAGCGCGCCTTGTCTGCGCGCCTTCCCAGAGATCCCCGCCCCATCTTCTCTGTCCATTTTCTCCATCGCCACACATGTCGCCGCCATTTTTGGGAAAATTCGATTCGTGCATCCGAAGTTTGCTAATCTTCGGATTCGTCGCGAATAGAATTTTTCCAAATCTTCGGAACGAATTCCACTTCGTCATGTTCGATTCGCTCATCTCTAGTTATATAGATGTAATGGCTGCATTAGTTTTCTTTTTAGGCTTTCTTCCCTTTATTTTCATTTGGTGATCCAGCCAGTAAGTCTGTAATTCAACAGAACAAGCTCTCCTGCAAATGTATCAGAGTGTTGAGGCAAACCATTTACCACTTATAGGGGTGCTTACAATAATCAACTTTATATATTTAAGTAAAATCTTTATCCCAAAAGAAAAAACAACTGTTGCTGTAACTGCAGGTGTAACTGCAGTGTAAGCTGGACTTTGACTTCAATGTGTTAGTGTATCTAATTCTATTCATCTAACACTCCCCTTCCTTCAGATTGAAAATGCTGCTGTCCAAAGGTGTCCCCAGTGCTCCTTCATCCAGAGTGGGGGCAGTCTAATACAGGAGGTGTGTTACTGGTCAGATCACCAAATGAAAACAGAGGAGAAAAAAACCTAAAAAAGAAAACTAGTGCAGCCACCACATGTAATGATTGGTATTCTGCAATATATTACATTTTTGGTTTTGGGTTTAATACAGCTTTAAAGCTTTGCAAGCCTTTGTTCAATTAATCTAATGTCTATGGCCAGTCTTCTCCACTGTATCACAAACCCACAGGTTTCAAATCTGCTTCTCCCCCCAAACATGATTAAATATCTAGATACCTACATTATATCCTACAAACCTTACACAACTAGCTGTTCCCAAATATGGGTCAATTTCTCAGTCCATCCTGGAATGTCTGTAAACCTACGGTAAATCATCTTTTAATTGGTTAGGGAGCATAAATATAATTAAAATGTATATATTACCAAAGATGCTATTTTATACAATATAATATATATATATATATATTTCAAACTGTGTCAGTTAAAACAATTAACTGGTTCCAAACCCCGCTATAGCCGAAGGACGGCTACAGCGCGGTTGTGTAATCCTGGGAAAACGTCCATGGACATCATTCCAAGACACACACCCCTGTGCACCCTCAGCGGCGTGCACCCGGCCCCGCCAGTGATCGCTGTGTCCTACGGACACAGTTGATCACGTGGTACAGTAAACAGCCAATCATGGCATCTTTTTACCACGTGATCAGCTGTATCCAATGACACAGCAATCACTGGGTAAATACAGTTGCTGGTTATTGGTTGCACTTTCATCATGCTGTCACAGTGTGAGGAAAGTACTGCTGAAAACTGGCAATTGTCAGGGAAGGGATTGGCACTGATCATCAGGGCACTGATGATCAGTGCCCTGATGATCAGTGCCCAGAAGTGCCACCCACCTGTACCTCCTACCTGTGCCCAGCAGTGCTGCCCTCCTGTACCCAACAGTGCCACCCACCTGTGCCCATCAGTGCCACCCACCTCCACGAGCGCCACCCACTTGTGCCCATCAGTGCCACCCACCTGTGCCACTCAGTGCCACCCCCCTGTGCCACCCACCTGTTCCACTCAGCAGTGCTACCCACCTGTGCCCTGCAGCGACATCCACCTGTGCCCATCAGTGCCACCCATCAGTGCTGCCCAGCAGTGCCACCCATCAGTGCTGCCCAGCAGTGCCACCTATCAGTGCAGCCCATCAGTGCCACCTATCAGTGCTGCCTATCAGTGCCTCCTATCAATGCCCATCAGTGCTGCCTATCTATGCCTCCTCATCAGTGCCCATCAGTTCTGCCTATCATTGCATATCCGTGCTGCCTATCAGTGTAGCCTCATCAACGCACATCAGTAAAGGAGAAAAATGACCTGTTTGCAAAATTCTATAATAGAAACAAAGATAAACTTTTTTTTTTTTTTGCAATTTTTTTGTTTATAGCGCAAAAAATAAAACACCCAGTGGCGATTAAATACCACCAAAAGAATGCTCTATTTGTGTAAAAAAAATAATAAAAACTTCATATGGATACAGTGTTTGCATGACCACGCAATTGTCATTCAAAGTGTGACAGCACTGAAAGCTGA